AAACCTAAGAACAAGGTCTTTATTTCTCTAAGGTTAAACACATACTCTAGTACAGTATTACTTAATAACCTTAACTAAAGACAAGTTATTTAGAATACTTGTATAGAGAGAGGATCTAGAAAGAGTATAGTGTCTAGAGTAAGAAGTATAAAGGAAAAGACTAGGAGAAAACCTGAAGAGATAAAAGGAAAATATTATACTTACTAAACTATATAGTTAGCTAGAAACACTTTATACAAAGACAAAGGACTATTAAAGCTAGTAAAGAGTTAGAGCTAATACTCTAAAGCTCTATACTTGAGGAGGACTAGTACTAGTGAAGGAAAGGAAACTGAGAGCTCTAAGGAGAGACTATAGAAAAGTAGCCTCCTTTATACACTTTACTTATATAGATAGAAAAGTAATAAAGTCATAAACATGAGAACTATATAAGAACAACATAAGGAATACATGAGACAATCTAGAACTTTAGTTGTAAGTTCTATAATTAAATACAGAAGTATAAAGATAAGACTAGAAGTTAATAAGGATAATTGTCTCCTAAACTAAGTCTATTAAAGAAGACTTAGGGAAAGATCTAGAACATTAGTTGTCAGTTCTAGAGTATACACAAGACAGTCTAGAACTTTGGTTATAAGTTCTAAGAGTAGTACAGAAGTACAGCCTTTTATATTACAGAAGTTATAAGGAGTCATTAGAAGTTATAATACTCTACCTTATAAGAAAGTGTATTACAAACAAATGTACAGAAAGTACAGGTTGAGTCAGACAGAGTTATAGGAACAATAGAGAGCTCTACTTTATAAGAAAAGTATTACACAGCTTACACAGTATAACTAGTTAGGAGGACTCATAAGGAGTCATTAGAAGTATGAGAGGAAGTATAGAAGACATAATAATATAGTAAAGGAGTTATTAGAAGATTAATCTAGGATACAAGAAGACACAAACTAGTGTTAGTAGATTAATAAAAGATACAAACCAGTGTAGCATACAGTCTAAAGGATTAGCCAGCTCCACTTCATAGGAACAACAGTAAAGAGAGTTACTAAAGTTACTAGAGTAACATTACTCTAGTAAAAAGTATATAAGAAGGCTAGTTTGGCCCTCAAAAGATAGTTTTATCAACTTAAGTTACTTAGTACTTGGAAGTACTCTACTACCAACCTACTAGGCTACACTTGTAGCTTGACTAAAGTAGGACTCCTCTACCCTCTCACTCTACAAGTCTACAAGTCTTACCCTTTATACTCTATTCTGTTACTATTTCTAAGGATTAGGGCTAGTAAAGTGAGTATATCTTACAGTCTATACATATATTTTAAGCTGCTACAATCATAGGTAACTGCTACATCAGTAGAGACCTTAAAATCTGCTGTCTAAGACTGTATGACCTTAATATTCTAAGCTTGGACAACATTCTAAACTGTGTAAGATTCTCTCAGACTACTTTTTTTTGCATTTGTAAACTCTGGGAAGAAACAGGCAATGTCATTCACCCAACAACTGCTTAGCACAATAGTAGCAGAGGAGAAGCAACTTTGATAGAAGTAAGACATTATAACACAATAGAATAGTAATAGACAGGTTGAAAAGTTAGGGACAGGTAGTAGGAGGTAGACTGTATAGCACAATGTGTCTCATTCACTCTGTCTCATACTTACTATTTTCCTTGCTAAGTTCAAAAAATCATGTGATTTCTTACTTTTCTTCACTTCACTCAAAATCAGAAAGTCTCATTATATTTGCAAACGGCTGTAAAGGTCTGATTATATAAGTATATTAGTACTTGCCTTTTGCGGTCGTCGATCACGTGGAAGTGTGGCATTTCTTAGTGCACTCGAATTTGAAGACCCTGGGCTGGGAGACTTGCTCTATGCTGCCAGGACAGTTCTTTATTGCTGCCTAAAGCTCGACTGCAAGAAACAACTAAGCGCTTTTATCGTGTATACATTGAAGCATGGCGAAGCGAAGTCCTCTTGCAGACTCATTGGCAAGACCGGCCGACATGGAGCACAAGTCGAAGAAATTGAAGGTATCTGGGTCGCCAAAACATGGTGTGGCAGGTGGAGTAAATACAGGCGCCGATGCTAGTGAAGCTGAATGGACAACTGTAGAACACAAAAGTAAATCGTCTAGTATGTGTCCTTGTTTTTTCCGAGTCTCATAGAACCGTGGTACTAATGTCTCCCAGCTCTTCCACTTCGGCCAGATATCTCTACGCCCAATGCCTTTACAAACCTTTTGCAATCTGGAGAAAAGAAAGCAGATAATAATGCCGAGTGGTCTAAAGTAGAGAAGAGGAAAGCCAAGAAGGCACGAAAGGTGGAAGAAAATTCGGAAGTATGATTTCCTTATTTTTTTCTTACATCGTCCGGTTTGTTTGTTGACTATGTGGTAGAATTCTCCTCCTCGATTTTATTATGTGAATAGCGAGATTATCAAGCGGAGAGAGGCCGTCACTATAGGTGTGAGGATCTTACATTAACTCCGCGTATCTCCATTAACATCATGTTCACTGGAGTTAGGACATTCGCGACCTTACATTGCATTTGCTTGGAGAAGCAGCACCGCAACCGTGGCTGAAGGTTGAGGTAAGTATCTATTTAATAGTACTTCTTCGGTAAATCCCTGATCTTTTTATGAAGAATCGACAAGCCATCAGGAAAGTAGTAGTTTCTTTCGTTCCCGGTATACTGCCCGAGCACCTGCGAATAAGATACCATCCTGCCAACGCGACAACAAACCCGAATCTTCCTATTTCTATCCCTTTACTCCAAGAAACCAACTCAGCACAACAGGGAATGCCTGTCATTGTGAAGACTCTATTTGGAGGAACGAAGGAGATTGTCCCGGATATTAAAGACGACACTCCAAAACTTCCCTTTGTCGCTCGGACCTTCAGCCATGCCTGCCCCACTCGTGCACCTGGTGACGCACTGCGCATGCATAGCGTACTTGGTGCGTTCTTTCAGGGTCCTATCAGTGCGGAAGAGAAGAAGAGACGCATGGTAGCATCGTTGAAAGGTGCATGTTTTCTTCGGTAAAATTTATGCTATGTGCTGATGACTTTGTTGTAGCTGGGAAAGATATAGCTGCGGATGATCCTATGCGCTATGTTCTCACGCCAACACAGATGCTTGAGAACGAATACCCTCTGCCTTCGTATATGAAAGACGCTTCAGGTGGACCCGAAGCGGGTTCATCTCATTCGACGGATGAAGGCTGGAAGGAGACGCCAAAGCCAGAAGAGAATGAAAGTGGAACTCCAGAGGTCATTGCCATTGATTGTGAAATGGTACCACCAGATTTTCCTCTTACGTTATTACGTTTCTGATTTCACTAACCTTCAAAATTTCTTTTAGTGTCTGACGGAGGACGGAAAAGAACTTACGCGCGTGTGTGCCATTGACTTTCGGACTGGGAAAGTCCTCTTGGACAAGCTGGTAAAGCCGCCTAAGCCCATATTTGACTATTTAACGAGGCGAGTACCGTTGAGCCCGTTGAAACTGCTTGTAGCTGAACAAACTTCCTAAAGGTGGTCGGGCATAAATGAGGAGTCTCTTCGAGATGTTACTGCTACGCTTCAAACTGTTCGAGATGAGTTCACGGATATCCTGTCCTCTTCTCAAGGTAAAACCGGGAGGACACCTATTCTCTTAGGGCATTCCCTTGAGTCCGATTTACGTGCCTTGAAGTTGGCACATAGCCGATGCATTGATACCGCACTTTTTTATCATCATCCACGAGGGCGACCACTAAAACCCGGACTTGCGTGGCTCACGAAGAAGTGGTGTGACCGGGAAATCCAAAACCGTGGAGAAGGCGGACATGACGCGGAAGAAGATGCACGAGCGTGTATTGAGCTTTTGGAACGGAAACTCAAGGGCGGGCCGTCATTTGGCGAATATAAATCAACAACGGAGTTCGAGAGTATATTTGAGCGTTTGAAGCGGTCGATCCATGGAAGCTCAACTGGCGAACCGGGTAGTGGAACAGGGGCGAAGCTCAGAACGGCTGTTGTTGATCGCGGGAGCCCTGCGACATGGCATGGTGCTGGAGCAGGACGCTGTGTCGCTTGTACGAACGACGACGAAGTCGCGAAGGGCATTTTAGGCTGCATTGAGGATAGTGACTTTGTCTGGGCGCGTTTAAGTGGGGTTGCGGAGGCACAGAATTGTAAGTGTGTCCGTCATCAGTTGGATTCTTAAGCTAATTTTGGTTGTAGGGCTTCAACCAAAGTCAAATACCGAGAATTCTGTCCAACAAAATCCACTCGAAGCCGATCCTGCCACAGTGGAAAATGCGCTTAAGACACTCAACTCACATTTATCACTGATACACGCATCATTGCCACCACGAACCGCTTTCGTCGTCTTCACTGGGCATTCTGACCCTCGTCCTATGGTAGCGTTGCAGGCACGCAAGAATGCATTTGAGAACGCGTTACGTGCTTCGCAGGCTAGTTCGAGTACGTCTGGGAGTTCGGTTAGTGTTCCGGAAGGTGTGCGTTGGACGGCGAGTGATGCACGCGATTTGGAGGAGGCGGTGGAACGGGCCCGGCAAGGGATGCTGTTCTTGTCTTTGAAATGATTGGGTAAAGTGTTGGGTAACAGGTTTGCTTGACGAGGTCTTGCAGACCTCTTGTAATAGATAGATATGTCAGTGGCTATTACCTTTATCGTTGGAGGTGATTGACAAAGCTCTGCATTGGATTTGATCCTAAAATGTCACAATTAAAGTGACAGCTTCTACTTTCCGTTTCTTATTGGAGATCTGACTCGGACCAAGCGAATCCTGGCGAAGCTCCAAATAAGTTGCTAATTTTCTCGTCATGGTATGTAGCTTTGTTGTAATACCGACCAAATGTAAGGTACACGAAAGTTAAATTCGACAAGCCATGTCACGTCACAGTCACAACCTTCGCTTACCCGATATGGAAGGACCCTGCAGCCAAAATCATGAGCTTCACCAACATCACCAGAGGCCCCTTGTGGACAAAGGCTCAGAAGTGACAGAGATTACATATATTCATAGGATTTGAGCCTTATAAGATAGCTCTATTCAAGTTCTGAAGCTAAATTTCAGTAGTAGGCTTTAAGCACTAACACATCCTATTTGTATTATAAATAAATGATTAGTAATTTTATTTGTAATATACTATATTTAGTATAATTAGTCATGCTATATTATTTGTCAGCAGCCAAAATCTACTCAAGAAAAATTCAATTTTTTCTTTTACTTTACTAAATGAAAGCAAAATAGAAAATAAGCTGTTTAGTATTGAAAAAGTTGAGATTGTTATAACTTTTCCATTTTTCATAATTTTGAAAATCTGTTTCACAGAAATGTAGAGAATTGTATCTGCTACATTTCTGTAGTCTTACATTATTAATTTTTGCTTTGTAGTAGGATGAGTTTTGTTACCAGTCTGTGAGCCAGGAAAGGAAGTTAGGGTTTGATCACATGTGTCACACTGTTAGGAATTGTAAAATACAGTAACTAAGTTTGGAAAAGCTTAACTCAAGACTTGGGACTGAGTAGTTTATATACAAAACCCTATTAGTTACAAGTCTAGAGATTAGCTAGATCAACTAGGCTACCTTTGTTGTCCTACTTAGTAAGAACTCTAGCTCAGCATTATTAACCTCTAATCATTACTAATAAGTGATTAATCTATTAGTAGAGAGAGGGGACAGGAAGGAGTAGGTACTAAGTCAGTTAGGAAAAGGTAACAAAACCTGAGGACAAGGTCTTTATCTCTCTAAGGTTAAACACATACTCTAGTACAGTATTACTTAATAACCTTAACTAAAGACAAGTCATTTAGAATGCTTGTATAGAGAGGGGATCTGGAAAGAGTATAGTGTCTAGAGTAAGAAGTATAAAGGAAAAGACTAGGAGAAAACCTAAAGAGATAAAAGGAAAATATTATACTTACTTACTATATAGCTAGCTAGAAACACTTTGTACAAAGACAAAGGACTATTAAAGCTAGTAAAGAGTCAGAGCTAATACTCTGTAGCTCTATACTTAAGGAGGACTAGTACTAGTGAAGGAAAGGGAACTGAGAGCTCTAAGGAGAGACTATAGGAAAGTAGTCTCTTTTATACACTTTGCCTATATAGATAGGAAAGTAATAAAGTTATAAACATAAGGACTATATAAGGACAATATGAGGAATATATGAGACAATCTAGAACTTTGTTGTAAGTTCTATGATTAAATAC